TATATAAATATATATATATATATATATATATTACCTTAACCGCAATCCTTCCTCATCCTCTTCCCCAATCATCCAAGCTGCACCACTCCTCCAAATCCACCAGCAGCACATGGAACAACTACTTTAGGGAACTCTTGCCTTGCTCCAATCTCAATAGCATTGATTTTGTGAGTTTTGTCCCTCTTGCTTTTGTCTATTTTGTTTCCATTGGGGACAATGTAAATATTTATGTTTGGGGGAGTTTTACGCATTTTTTCTTTTATTATGCATGTCATCTTGCATCATTCTGCATTATAGTATATACATTGCATCTTGTGTTGGAATGGAAATTTATTTTCTTAACCATATATAAATTATAAGTTTACTCAATGATATTTTCCAAGCACATTGTCGATATCTGATTCATGCATTACTTGTTGGAAAACTTCACACACTACACAATAAATCTTGGCACAATGGCACTTAAGAAAGATTTTTAATCTACTTAAATAAAATATAATTTTTTTTAGGTTTCTATGGTGACACTCATTGCATTTAGTTACTGGAGAATTGTCTGCCTTAAAAAAAGGGAAAGTTGAAAGAAAAATGGTTCTTGAGTACAGATCTCGTGTAATATTTCTCTGTTAATAAGAATTATCAATTGATATTAAAAAGCTGTAATCAATACATAAGAAGATACGTATAAATACTTTTCATTCATGTTAAAACAATATTATCAAAATAAAAAATTGAAGTGAAGGACATGTAATGAGTTGACAACAAAATAGAAAGGTCAAATTGAAAAAATCCAACAATACTAGATAAAAGTTCATCAATTAAAAATGCAAGAATACAACATGACTATTGTAGTAATTAGCCTTAAACAAAATGATTTGTACATACAAAAGTGACGATAAGTCTTTTTTTAAAAAGATATTGAGTTGTAGGATTTGGTTAAAAAGAAAAAAATTAATAGATTTGGATCAGACTAATTTCATTTGTTTTAAAATAAGGTTATTATTTGAATTATATAATAGGTAAAAAGAATTAAAAGAATAGAGGGAAAAAATACATTAACTTCTAAAAAGTAGTCATGTTGTATTTTAATTAAAAAAATTGATTAAAAACATTATTTCATATCTTAATTGAATCAAATCAATAAATTAGCAATTACACTAAGGTCATTAATAATTGTATGTAATCAGTGTTAACTCAAGTCTTAGCAAAGAGTAATATATAAATCAACTAAAAAGAATAAAGTTATGTCAATCAATTCAAAAATAAATTAAGAATTTTGAAATGAAAAGGAAATAAGAATTACTTAATTTTAAAACCTAGTAATATCAATCTACTTAACTAATAGTAATAACAATGAACTTAAAAAACATGTTAAGGGAAGGCTAATATCTATTTAATATACAATCATGTTAAAAAGTGCTTCAAGTTATGTATAAATACTTTTCATTTAGGTTAAAACAATATTATCAGAAGAAAAAATTGAACTTTAGGTCATTTAATGATTTGGCAGCAAGATAGAAAAGTCAAATTGAAAAAATCTAGCAACATTAAATAGGATTTTATCAGTTAAAAATGCAAGAATATAATCTAGAAATAATAACTATTAAGTAAAAGCTAATATATTAATATGAATAAAAAATAAAGAATTAAAGAGATATATTTACAAAAGGGTTATTATTTGAATCGTACTAATTTCATTTATTTTAAAATAAAGTTATTATTTGAATTATAATAGGTAAAAATAATTAAAAGAATAGAGGGCAAAAATACATTAACTTCTAAAAAATAACATACGTGCAAAAAAAATTATCAATGTCTTTATTAAGATCATTGACTCATTGCAATTGATTATGAAAACAATATCCTTATTAATCATAATTTTTTGGTGAAGATGAAAATTTCAAACAGAAGCAAAAACAAAAAACTACACTATCCAACAATGAAATTTATAATTGTTATAATTTATGAAAGAAAACCTCTTCATCCTCCAAAATCATCTCTAAGGAATTTGTTTGCAATTGATTCTTAAACTCTAGCAACCTCCACAATTTTATTATACGAACTCTTATCTTCCAATCAATTTTTCCTACTACAATGTCCTTTAGTAATGTAAACCTCTTAGTCATGTCCTCTAAAGAAGATGAAAGTAAAAGGGAATTTTTTTTAATAATATGTTCACTATACATCAACATTGAAACAACCAACTTTTAAAATTAAAACTTCATACAAGCTTACCTAAAAATGGTTTTTCTATGATTGATAGAGAAAATGTGAATCCTCATATTAGAAGTACAAAAGTACCCAAATCAGAAAGTGGACAATGTATATATGGAGAGAGTATTTTTAGAAATATAGAGTACGATGGAATAGGACAATCAGAATGAAGTTTTAAAAAAGAAAAATGCCTTAAAAATTAGAAGATAGTTGAGATCAATTGGCATTGAAAAGCTTTAATCAATGCAGAAGAAATAAATATTCATAATTACTTTTTTGAGTGGAAGATAAAGTGAAAATAATTTGATAGGAAACGTATAAAACAAAGAAAAAGAGAAAAGATTCAAACCCCTGACCTTGCTTAAGCATAGATCAACCCCTACCGCTGAACCACACACTTGAGATTGGATTTTTCTTCTGTTTAGAAGTACTAAAGGTTTAAAATTTATTAAATTAAAAAAAATAAAATTCAGAATAATTATGATAAGATAAAGTTACATAAATACCCTTATTTTAAGCGTAAAAAGAGAGTTATACTTCCTTCCTTTTATTATAATAAAGATATCAAAATAGGACTAAAAGAGTTCACTTTAACTAATAACATAATTTGATTTTTTTAAAAAAAGAATTTAAAACTAGCCCGAGCAAAATTTTTTTTCTTTTTATTGTCCAATTAAAATATAACTTTCACCTTTTAAAATTTGAAAAGAGAAATTTATGTAATTTAAAACTCAACTTAAAGTTTCCTTTGTTTGATCCCAAATTTAAAGCCCAAGCAAAGAAACCATAACCTATTATTTTTGTTTGATCGTTTAAATTAAACTTCACAATTAAAAGCAACCTAAAAAATGATTAAAATATCTAATAAATAAGCTTGTATATTTTTTTACATCTTTAAAAAAAGATTATCTAGTTTGTCATCCGTAGCCACGTACGTGTCACGCTGCATGTTGAGCTTTATCACTACATGCTGCCACCTTTCCATACACTGCCACGTAATGGTGACCGAAGAAAACACCATTAAAAGCGAGGCACAAGAAGATCAAGCTGAAACACGAAAATGGTGGCAAAGCCAGGCCCGTCTATCACGTGCTTGGCACGTGCTTCACTCTTCCTCTGTGCTCTAACCCTATGCTCCGCTCTAGAAAGCCACGAACTCACGATTAAGGACGTGACTACGAAGCTGAGGCTCGGCGACAACGAGGTTCTGCGCACGGAGAAGAAGTTCAAGGTTTTCATGGAGAATTACGGGAAAAGGTACTCCACCAGGGAAGAGTATTTGCGCCGTTTAGGGATTTTCGCACACAACTTGGTCAGAGCGGCGGAGCACCAGGCGCTCGACCCCACTGCCGTCCACGGCGTCACGCAGTTCTCCGATCTCACCGAGGACGAGTTTCAGCGGTTCTATACTGGCGTCAATGGAGGCTTCCCGTCGAATAATGGTGTAGCGCCGCCGCTTGAGGTGGATGACCTGCCAGAGAATTTTGATTGGAGATAGAAAGGAGTTGTCACTGAAGTCAAAACGCAGGTCTATATAAACTTAGGGTTTCATTTTTCTTCATCTCATCGGAATTATTTGTTTTTGCCTTAATTAAGTGCATGTGCTTATATATTTTTTAGTGTTTTGATTTTAATTAACACTTTTGTTATGCGTGCAAACTTTTGACTTAAAAGTAAGTTGAAAAAGCACGCAAAATAATTACCCCTTCAAAAAGCACGAAAGGGTTTGGTTGCACGTTGTGGATATGATTTTTCACCTATAACTTCAGTTAATAGGATAAATTGATGTGATTCTCTATTTTCTAACGTGTTTCCAATCATGCATTTAATTAGTTGAAATTGAATATGTTTGCTAACGTGTTTCCAAACATGCATTTAGTTGAAATTGAATATCTGCATCTTTTTTTTTCTCCCAAGATTGGAACGTGTTTCCAAATTGAATATGTTTTCTAACAGTTGAAATTGAATATCTGCATCCCTTTTTTTTTTCTCCCAAGATTGGAAATACTGTGTGTTTTACATATCCCCCTTTCTCCCAAGATTGGAAATACTGTTTCTTTTTTTTTTCTCCCAAGATTGGAACGTGTTTCCAAATTGAGTATGTTTTCTAACCGTTGAAATTGAATATCTGCATCCTTTTTTTTTCCTCCCAAGATTGGAACGTGTTTCCAAATTGAGTATGTTTTCTAACCGTTGAAATTGAATATCTGCATCTTTTTTTTTTCTCCCAAGATAACGTGTTTCCAAATTGAATATGTTTTCTAACCGTTGAAATTGAATATCTGCATCCCTTTTTTTTTTTCCTTCTCCCAAGATTGGAAATACTATTTCTTTTTTTCTCCCAAGATTGGAATATGAAGGTTTAGGGTTTAGGGTTTAGGGTTTAGGGTTTAGGGTTTAGGGTTTAGGGTTTAGGGTTTAGGGTTTAGGGTTTAGGGTTTAGGGTTTAGGGTTTAGGGTTTAGGGTTTAGGGTTTAGGGTTTAGGGTTTAGGGTTTAGGGTTTAGGGTTTAGGGTTTAGGGTTTAGGGTTTAGGGTTTAGGGTTTAGGGTTTAGGGTTTAGGGTTTAGGGTTTAGGGTTTAGGGTTTAGGGTTTAGGGTTTAGGGTTTAGGGTTTAGGGTTTAGGGTTTAGGGTTTAGGGTTTAGGGTTTAGGGTTCTCTTAATGATTCGATCCGAAATTAGAAATCCTAAATTATTGTTAATGATTCCCAAGTTGTTAGATGCGAAATCCCAAATTAGAAATCCCAAATTATTGTTAATGATTAAATAAAAAATAAATTGAAAATCCCAAATTATTGTTAATGGTTAAGTTATTATTAATGATTAAATAAATTATTTCGTCCTTTGAATTATTTAATAAAATTATTCTAAATCTCAAATTATTATTATCTCCGGTTAAGTTCTAAATGATTAAATAAATCCTAAATCCCAAATTATTGAAATATTTCTTAAGTATAATTAAATAAATCCTAAATTCTAAATTTTATATTATTATTATTTCTGACCCCAAATTAAAAATCCGTTAATGATTAAATAAAAATAAATTGAAAATCCCAAATTATTTGGAAACTTTAAAAGACCTTCTATTAAGCCCTGATCAATGAACTTACAAAACCCTTCAAATTGTATCTGATTCAATCCAGGAGGTACTGTAGGCATTCCTTCATTTCCACCCTCAAGCCTTTTCAATTTCTCTGTGAATTTTATAGAAAAATATTCCACGATTTGCTGTCATTCTTTATCAAATCACATGAATCTATTTAGCAATAATGGAATTTTTGTTCTTTACTGATTAAATTATTATTAATGATTAAATAAATTTGAATTATATTTTCTTTGAATGTTTAAAGTAAATTCTAAGGGTATCTCCAATGGACGCAACTCATTTGAGTTGCTTCATGCATTAAAAAATGAAAAAAGTAGTCTCAAGTGTGTCATGTCAGTATTAAGCAATTCAAATATAAATTTACTCCAATCTTAAAAAATTTTAAGAAATTCAACTTTTAAATTTTTTTTCTAATCATTTATGAACCAATTTTAAATTTTTATTAAAAAGGATAAATTGCACTACAATAAAAGAAAATAAATTACGAAAAAAAATACACAATAAGTAGATATTAAAAATAAAATAAAATAATAGTAAATACATAGACATTATACGAAATTAATTTTCATCATTATTATTTCTGAAACGTTCCCAAATATGTTCAATAAGATATACTTGAAATCTGGTAAAGAACGGTTCCTTGAGGAAGCAACTCTCTCTCTTCTTCAAGTAACTCATGTTGCTACGTCAGAGTCCTCCAATGGTAAAAAATCGAGACTTGAAGCAACTCCCTAAATCTCAAAATTTTAAATTATTGAATTATTTCCTTCTCTGAATTATTAAATAAAATTATCCTAAACCTCAAATTATTATTATCTCAAAAGTTGACCTCTGACATCAGTACGACCGTACTGAATTCAATACGGCCGTACTGTAGTTCAAAACTTCAGTACGGGCCGTATTGATGTCAGAGGCCGTACTGCGCCTCACTCCTATATATAGGACGTCATTTGGACGTCATTCCAGACATTTTGGACACTTTTTCCAGATTCTTGGACCCTCTTGTTGAGCATTCTGGGATTTTTGAGCAGTGTTCTGCCCTAGAAGTCTCTCCGAGAACCGATCCGACGAAGTTCTTGAGTTCTGAGCATTTAGCTTGAGGATTCAAACTAGTCGAAGGGAAATCTTTTCGATTTCCATAGTAAAAATTAATTTTTAGGGAAGGAGCGAGCGTGTAGTGAGAAGGAGCGCCAAAAAGCCTCCTAACGTCTGTTTAAATATATAAAAGCACGCTTCAAAGGTTTCTTTTTCAAAATCCTTCCTTTTACTGCCTGATTGTTGCATTGCATATTTAGAATTTTCATCATGTAAATATTCCGCTTATAATCGTTTCTAATAAATATAAATCCTAAATCTCAAATATTTCTTGAGTATAATTAAATAAATCCTAAATTCTAAATCTCATATTATTATTATTTCCAACTTAACCTCTAAATTATTAAATGAATCTTAAATCCCAAAGTTATCGAATTATTTTCTGAAATTTTTAAATCCCAAACAAATTGCAAATTAATTTTTAAATCCCAAACAAATACCAACCAACCAAGGAAAAAAGTAGTGGAAAATGCAGATTGTTGCTGCTAGTGGTTCCGTGTTCGACGCCTATTCTTTCTAATAAAATCTAAAACTGCTCTGCAGGTTTCTGTTATTGACAATATTTATTGGAAGGAACTTCTTGTAACTGTGTGGATCTTGATACTTGCAATACAGATAGGAAAAGTTAGTGTCTAATGAGCTTTTCAACTCATTTTTTTAATTAACATTTTTGGTACATTTTAAATATTTGTTTTTCGGTATATCAGTTTTTCATTTTATTGCATGTATTGAAGATCATTTGGTGAACTTAGATTGATGCTAATATATGCCTTTTTTTTTTTTTGAAACAGAATTACACTACAAATTGCTCAGCTGTGTATTGGGTATTGAATCTATTGCAGATACACACTACTATACATTAATAGCTAGAAACCAAAGTCTTCTTATAGTTTCCACTCTCCAACTTAATCAAGCCAATGTGGGGTTATGAAATCAAGTGTTGAACATCAAGAATTTGATTTGGCCTTAACTTCAAATTTGGATGCAGAACCTGAACCATTGAACCACCAATATAATATCAATTCTTTTTCATATGCTATAATCTTAATTAGGCTAAATTAATCTTTGATCTCTCTTTTTTTTTAAAAAAATTTAATTAGTTCAATTTAGTCTTGTCTTTCTGTTCAATTGGCATTAGCAACTTTAATTTCTTGTACACATGACAAGTATGTGTCATTTTATTATTGTGCCACGTTTTCATAGAGTTAATGTCATAGTCTCAGTTGAATCGAAAGGACCAAATTAAACTTTTTTTTTTTTTTTAGTAATTTAGCTTATCAATTATGGTGATGATTGTTTTCTTTTTGTCCCATTGTGTTTCAGGTCCCTATCACTGTTGGAACAACTTTATATGAAGCCGTGCTTCTATACAAAGGGCAGAGAGTGATATCCTCAAAGGGTGATCAACAAACACGTTTGAGTGTACGGCAATTATTTCTATATTGCACTTGTGGCATACTTGCTGGCATAATTGGTGGTTTGCTTGGCCTTGGTGGAGGATTCATCTTGGGACCCCTTTTCATTGGATTAGGAATTCCTCCTCAGGTACGTATGTTTTATCCTTGTATGACTATTTTAATGTTGGTCCACTTGGAACTCACTCATTGGGATTTTTTTCTATCAAGGTTTCAAGTGCTACATCCACTTTTGCAATGACATTTTCTGCATCTATGTCAGTGGTGGAATATGGCATTCAATTTTTTGTTTAAGGGTATCCAAAATCTCCTGTTACTAGGACTATATAACCAATGACATTTAATTTTGTCAAAACTTTTATTTTTTAAGAATATTTTAATATTTACTATTTAACTCTTCATTAATTTATAATTTTTTAAATAATAATTCTCGACTTATTTAAATATGTTTTTTCTTTTTCATCACACTACTCATTTTATTTACATTTTTTCTCTTCTCTCTTGTGCATTCCTGGCAAGCACCTCCCATTCTCTCATCCCCTACTGGACAATCTATTCTCCCTACAAAAAGCATAAACCAGGGAAGCCAATCTATTCTCCCTACAAAAAGCATAAACCAGGGAAGCCTTAGAGTGTGCATACAAAGATGCAGAAGCCATGAACTTCAAAGTGAGGGGAGTGCTGATCACAAACCCTTCAAATCCATTAGGTATAACAATCCCACGTTCGGTTCTGGAGGAGATTCTGGACTTCGTGACACGCAAGAACATCCACCTGGTCTTAGACGAAATCTACTTAAGTTCGTTCTTCTCCTCCTCGGAGTTCACAAGCGTGGTAGAGATCCTCGAGGGTCGCGAATATAGAAACGCAGAGAGAGTTCACATTGTTTATAGCCTCTCCAAAGACCTTGGCCTCCCTGGTTTCAGAGTTGGCACCATTTACTCTTACAACCACAAGGTGGTGACCACAACGAGAATGGGAGAATAGATTGTTATCCAATGGATGAGTTTAAAGATATGTTTAATTTGAATGAAAATGGTTTTATTGATTGTAAATCCTAGTGAGGTTTAGGGTTTAATAAAAAATGTCTTCTAGAAATGGTTTAATAAATAGGTTAAGAACTATTATTTAAAAAGTTATAAATTAATAAGGGTTAAATAGTAAATATTAACTTATTTTTAAAAAATAAAAGTTCTGACAAAATTAATATATGTTATCGTTTATCTGATATACTGAGAAAGTTTTGGTACCCCTAAAATGGAAATGTCTCTGCATCTATGTCAGTGGTGGAATATTACCTTCTCAAACGTTTCCCGATTCCTTACGGTAAGTACGGATCAATGGACATAAATTAAAGGAATTAGAGGAGTAATTCTATCATTTCCAGGTGCACACACATAGTTAGGCCCTAGTGATTAATTACTTGGTTAAAAGAAAGAATAAATAATATATGTAGTGACAGAATAAATAGTGTAATATTATCATAAGCTGTCATGTCATGCAAAGTTACTTGACTTTTATACCAGACTGTTGTGAAATATAGTGGAGGATTATGTTTCCGATGGTGGTGTGGCAGTTCCGGTGATGGCGATACCAAGTTCTTGTGGTGATACTACAAGGACTTCAGCATATAGATCAAGTATATTCAAAAGAGAGTGAATACATAGTGTAGGAGTCTCTTTATATAAGGTCATTTATGCGAAAAAGTTTTGTTACGTAGTTATGTTATGTGGCTATTGTCATTGTTAATTCATGTGTCATGTGTTAAGTCTATTTTTTTAACGTAAAACCTTAATTCGGTTTTATCCAAGACTCATATTAGATAAATCCTGACTAGTTATATCTTTTAAAGGGGTAGATCGAACATAAGTTGGACCGACCTCCACAACAAAGATGATATCTTTTATTTAGATAACTATTAAACTAAAATCTAAAAGGAGGAGGTAGTTACACTATAAGTACAAATTAAATTACTTGCTAATATGTTTGATTATCTTGCAGCACTTTACTTGTAGCTGTAGCCACTGCTGCTGCTCTTTCTGGGCAGCATTTGGTGAGAAAGCTTATCGCTATACTGGGGAGAACCTCTTTGATCATTTTCATCCTTTCGCTCACAGTTTTTGTGAGTGGAATATCACTAGGCAAGTGCAATTTTCAGAGATTCTTTTGGATTCTTCCTTTTAGTGATCAGGGGTACTACTGTATCAGTACTGTTACGAACTTGTGGCTGCTGTTTACTCGCATCTTATTTTATTAAAATACAAAAGACAACTTGTCTTGCTTTTGATTATAGTGAGTAAAAAATATGAATAAAATATCAATGAATTTAGCTGGAATCGGTTGGAATATACTCATATGATAAAAGTTTTCAAAGTAGTTTTTTTTATACAAAAATTTAATAATAATTTATTCTTTTGCGACACCATCTCATTCATCAATATGGTTTGGTAATAAGATGATGAGTTAATAACACAATGCATTTCAAATTAAACAAATAGTGAGCATACATTTTTACTTGCTTACTTTAAAAAAAAAAAAATACTTTAGAGAAAACACATGCTTTCACGTTCCAAGTAGTATATTACAAATTTACAATGACTTAACTTTTTTTTTTCTTTTCCAAATTACAGGTGGAGTAGGCATAGCAAACTTCATTAAAAGGGTTGAAAAGAAGGAGTACATGGGGTTTGAAGACCTTTGCTCGTAGGGTTAGAAATTAAAGATGGAGATGTGTAGTTTCTAAGTGCGAGGCCCTTCACAACAGTTTTGCGTTTTCCAGAATTGTATTAAGAAATTTATCTTTGTTTCTTAACTAAACTAATTGATTATTCAGTAGAAATCTATGACTATTTTAAAGCCGCACTACCAATTAAGTTTAATTAATATACAACTTTGTTGTAAAACATTTTTTATTTTAGCAAATAAATTGTTTATATCAATTATATTCTAAAACACTAATTTTTGATATATTCACACACGTTTTCCATAAATTCCATACATGTGTTCTACATTTCATTAAATGAAACGAGTTTCCAAGAATATTCAAAAGGAGGTGATGAAAATTGACTATACATAACTATATCTTTTTAATTCCTCTGTATTTAGAAATTCAATATCTTCAAATATTTATACGAATTTGATATATATTTAACATTAAAGCTCTTGGTTTTGGACCCTCCACAAACCGTAGTGCTGGTGGCTTATTTAAAGCACTTACTAGTTTATTAGGTGAAATTAGTGGGAGTACACTGTCCACAAATCGCCAAGAAAGTACGTGTAATTGTATAAGAGATAAAAGATGAGATAAGCCAATAAACACAAAGAACAAGGACAATATGCTTGTTATCAATACGACTCTGACGTAAGTTGTTTTCTTGTACCTAAATTTTGATTGAATTTAAACATTATCAAAAATTACCAAGCAGCCTCCGGATTCCTATTTGAAGAGAACATTTTGAAAATTTTCTATATATAACTATCATGGTCTCATTTTGAAGCAAAGCATAGGAACATCTTAGTTCTAAAAGGACTAAAATATTCAATTTAGAAAAGTGCTGTCAGTCCAAAGAGAGTAATGGCTGTGAAATGGGTTGCTGGAAAGGCTCTCATTGCTTTTCTTCTTCTTCTTGTCACGGTCTCAGCTACTTCTTCTCATCAAAATACAGAGAATAAAACAACTTCACTTTCCAATGGAACTATAGGGGTTGATTATCATGCTAAAGCATTTTACAAACACCATTGGCCGGTAAGAGTGTTCACTTCACAAATACTATGATCACAACAGGTTTCTTAAAAAAATATGTTTTCATATACTTTTGTGACAATTCCAAACAACCAAAATAGTAATAATTTTTTGTTTCATGTTGAATTGGGATTGACTCGGTTTTTTATTATTTTTTTTGTTACCTTTTGGGTTCTCATGCAGAGCATGAAATTTGGATGGAGAATAATAGTTGGTAGCATAGTTGGATTTCTAGGGTCAGCATTTGGGACGGTGGGAGGTGTTGGTGGGGGTGGTATCTTTGTGCCAATGCTTACCCTCATTATTGGATTCGATGCAAAATCAGCCACAGCAATATCAAAATGTAAGAACTTAAATTTTATTCTTTTTCCTATTTCTCCTCTTCTTGTGTTACAAATTAATAGCATTTGGGATGGGTTTTGTTACGAGCTTTTCAATAATTGCGTACACGAAGGGGTGTGTGACAGTGACACCAAACATGTGGCAGTGGTACTAGGTTACTTTCCTTGTCCCACTCTGAGTGCCAATAATTTTAATGAAGGATCATGTTTGGAATTATGTTATATGCTTTAGAGCTTACAACTATCTTCTGATGTATGATTATAAATACATGGCTACCAAATATAATAATGAATTGTGAGTCTGTGATGTATAGTAACATATTTCTATTGTGGACATCCTAGCTAGGATCAGGATTTAGGCTAGAAATTAAGCATGCTCTGATTCCATGTGTATCTTTTTGCATGTTTCTATTCGTGTTCGAGTTCTGACAGTGGTCAGTAGGGTCAAATTTTTTTTTTTTTATACCATTTTTATATAAATATTCTATCACCATAAATAGTTTATTATTATTTATATTTTTACAAATTTTAGAGGGATTAAAATTTTTTTGAAAAAATAATTTTGATACATTTTAAAAAAATGGAAGACCATGACTATCTGGGTCTCCCCTCTCTCTGCTCCTGCATACATGTTAAATAAAATTTTTTAAAATGTCTTATAACTCATTATTATTTTTTTTAAAGAAGTTTTGAAGTATCGTGCATCATCAAGAAGTGGTCAGATCATACTAATCTGATGTATGACCCGAATCTAACACAAAAAGAGAATGATGTCAGTGTTTAGTTAGATTTGAGTCACATTTAATTTTAATAGAATAATTAGTGAGTTGCATGGTACGCGCTTAACATCAAAATCAAGAACAAAATTATCATAATCATGCGTACTAAGTCGTACTTTCAAAAAAAGGTTATTACACATTCCATGAGTACTATTTTTTTTTCGTCAATCAACTGAGTTACAACTTCTAGCTTAAGAGTTGGTTGACTTTTTATATTAATATAATCTATATTTATAATAATAAAATATTAATAAAGCATAACAAACATTTATAACGATGAAATTCACTTTAAAATATGATTATAATTTTTTTTTATATTAGTTCCTTACGCCTAAAATTAATTTATGAATTATTTATATATAATTTTTAAGCCAACATATTCTATGTAAAATTAGGTAGGGGTGGGCAAAAAAAATTAAACTGAACCGAACCGAACTGAACTGGTGGTGAACTGTACTATAAAAAATTGAACTGTTTGTAAAAAAACTGAACTGAACTGTTTAAAAAAAATTGAACTGAACTGAACTGTTATAAAGTTAAACTGTACTGAATTATAAAAACTGAACTGAATTATAAAAATTGAACTATTTTTATAAAAGAATAAAAATTAAATGTGTTTAACATGTTATGTCTTAATGATTTAGCTCGATAGTTTAATAATCAAAGCTTTAGAAAAAAAGTGATCTGAAGAAAAATTGTATCAATTTTTTCGAACTTAACAGATCAATTGAGTTATTTTGAACTACTTATTTTTAGGCTTAAAATTCACTGAGTTTGTTTAACTTAATTTTATATTTTTTTCCTTTGAAAAATTTAAATAAAATGGAAAATAAAGTAAAGTTGGCAAATGTGTCCTATTTTGATAGATCAATGAGTCAAAATTGTTCAATTCAAAATATCATGAAACTTTAGTGCAGTTTAAATTGCAGTTCAGTTCAAGTTTTTATAGTATAGTTCAGTTTAGTTCAATGACACAAAAGAATAGTTCAGTTCAGTTCGTCTGAACTAATGTTTAGTTTAGTTCAGTTCATATGAACTACTTTTAAGTTCAGTATAATTTTTATAAGTTCAGTTCAATTTAGTTCGTTTTGCCCACCCCTAAAATTAGGTTGACATGACCTTTACACTTATTATCAACCTGAATTTTCTAATAAACACAAAATTTATACAACATAAATAAAACTTCATCGAAAAGAAGGACAAAGTTTTACATGTTATGCTATTTTTCAATTAAAAATTTACTTCACTTAAGAATTTATATATTAAAGATAAACATCATGACTTCCATTAAAAAAAATACAGATCAGTTATTAAGATTAAATTTATTAAATAAAGCATGATGCTATGAGAGTGAGCAACTAATTTCATGATAATTATTTATTAAATATCAACAATAAAAATGTTGTTTGAGATTTTGCTAGAGGAAAAGTAAAAAATAAAAAAAATTTATAAGTGAGTAAAAAATTTTGACTTATAAACTAGTTTTATTAAATTAAGTTGGATTTTTATTGGATCACTCACATATACCTAGTCCTATAATTTTTATCTTTAAGATGTTCGGTCTTTAGTATAAATTTTTTTTTTTACAGATTTCACTTCGACTAAAAATAAAGTGAAAAAAATATATATAAATGAAAAATAATCTACACCTAACAAGCATATACTATAAAATGAAATATTCTTTGTGCCTAAAGTCAAGTTATTTGCTTTGTACTTGTGGCAATTATTAAGCTTGTTTTAAATATTCTTCTTTGGAAACTTACATGAACAGAATCTATGTTTGTGTTTGTTTGACTAAGGCATGATTACGGGAGGAGCAACAGCAACAGTTTTCTACAATTTGAGGCAAAGACACCCCACCCTTGATTTGCCCGTCATTGACTATGACTTAGCACTTCTTTTCCAACCAATGTTGATGCTTGGAATCAGCATTGGAGTTGCTTTCAATGTCATCTTCCCTGAGTGGATGCTAACAGTTTTGCTAATCATATTTTTCGTTGGTAAGAACTGCTTAAAAGTTAAAACTTGGATTCAGTCCTAGCTCTATTTTATTTTCTTTCCTTTGCCAACCCTTGATGTAATCTGAATGTGAAACAGGCATATCAGTTAAATCCTTCTTTAAGGGTGTTAATACATGGAAGCAAGAAACCATTATGAAGAAGGTTGCCTAAACAAAACAACATTACTCTCTTTTATATTGAGTTTTTTTCATGTTTTGCATTTCGGTGCATTGTTTTAATGCATACCTGTTATGATTCCAGGAAGCTAGGAAGAATTCACAGATAGATGGTAAACTGTTTGATAGTATTTCTCTTCTAGTATTCTGTATAGAGATATAAAGTGTTTATATCAAACATGTCATGCTAATTTTTAATCTGATCAGATATTGGAAGTCCTGAAGATGCTGCACATTATATTCAAACAGGAGATTCAGCCAAAGACAGTACCAACCAATCAAGGAAAAAGGTAGTACAAAATTCAGACAGTTTCTGCTTCCATATATGTTCAATATCTATTCATTCTTTGTAATGAAATCTGAAACTGTCATGCAGGTTTCTATCATTGAGAATATTCGTTGGAAGGAACTTGGACTTCTTTTTGCTGGCTGGATCATGATACTTGGATTAGAGATTGGAAAAGTTGGTATCCCATGAGCTGTTCTACTCACAATTTGAGTTTTTCATTTTCTAACATTGGTGAGCCATTTGTTCAACATAATATGATCATAACATATGCCTCTGTTTTGAAACAGAAACAAACAACAACTTGCTCGCGGTTATATTGGCTATTGAATCTACTTCAGGTATAAACTACTATAGGAGAATTTAATTTCTGAAAACCATAGCTGTCATCTTATATTTTTCACTCTCCATCTTAATCAAGCCAAAATGGCCTCATTTTTGAGTGTTGAATACTAAGAGCTAATAGTTTCATATATTTTTGGTTCTAGAACCAATGAACCATCTACATCATGGGGACTATTTGATGTATTTATTTGATTGTTTTCAGGTCCCAATAGCTGTAGGAATGAGTTCATATGAGGCTGTGCGTCTATACAAAGGGAAGAGAATCATAGCATCAAAGGGAGATCAACAAACACATTGGAGAGTGTTGCCTTTAATTCTATTTTGTGCTTGTGGCACACTTGCTGGCATGATTGCTGGTTTGCTAGGCCTTGGTGGAGGATTCATTTTGGGACCCCTTTTCCTTGGATTAGGAATTCCTCCTCAGGTACTTTCTTTTTGCCATAAAGTCTGAAAATTTTGCTTGGAATTCACTCTAACTAGAGAATTTTCCAAAGGTTGCAAGTGCTACATCAACATTGGTAATGGCATTTTCTGCATCTATGGCAGTGGTGGAATATTACCTTCTCAAACGTTTCCCTGTTCCTTATGGTAAGTATTGATGAATGGACTTAACTCAAGGAATTAACAATATGTGAGAGCATGAGTAATTTTTCCATGATGCAACAAGAGCATATACATAGTAATAGAGGATGCTACAAGAGCATACAGATAGCAATATATTATGGATTTTTGAATGATAAAGTTTGGATCATGTTGCAGCTCTTTACTTCGTAGCTATAGCCACTGGTGCTGCACTTGTTGGACAGCATTTGGTGAGAAAGGCAATTGCTATACTGGGGAGAGCATCTGTGATCATTTTCATCCTAACTCTCACACTTGGTATTAGTGCAGTATTACTAGGTATGTAACATTTTTTGGGGGGCTGCTTTGTTGACATTTTCTTAGTATTCTTCATTTTTTTTTTGTGAGGTTACTTATAACAGGCAAATATGGGCTATTGCTTATCGATATATTGAGTACTTGTACATTATTATTTTGTGTGTCTATTTCTATCTATCTATCATTAATAAATGCAATAAATTATTAAACAGACAGAAATATACATAAAATATGATGTTGTATAAATTATTTTATAAGTATTGTTTTCTATTTTTATTTTGTAGATATGCTATGAAGAAAAAGTTATTAAATGAATTTTTTCTTTAAAGCAAATGAGGGTATCTTTATTCTTTAATTTGAGTGAGTTAATATCACATTGCATGTTAAATTAAATTAATTATAAATGCTTTTTATTTACTTACTTTAAAGACAAGTTACTTTAAATGAGTTTTATGTCTACATTGGCATTTGCAATTTCTCATTTCGATGGTTTTTTTTTCTTTCCAACTTACAGGTGGAGTAGGCATTGCACACATGATTCAAAAGATTGAAAATAAGGAGTACATGGGCTTTGGAGACCTTTGTTCATATAGAAAATAAAGTTCATGATGCGTAGCTTTTAAGTTCAAGGATCCTTACTTTGTAGTTTTGTGTTGTCTAGGTTTGTATTAATAAACTTTTTTTTAAGAGTTGTATTAATAAACTAGTTTACCCGTGCGATTATTCACTATTTTTTTTTTTTTAAAGATAGGAAAAATTATAAAGATAGTAGCAATAAGGATTGAACCTAGGTCTTCATGCTTTTAACTAACTCAATCCCTCCCCACCCAACCACTAGGCTAATCCTAGTGGTTGATTATTCACTATTTCTCTATCAATTTATGACTATTTAAAGTTGCAATAACAATTTTACTTAAACACTTCGTCGATTTCTCGGGTTCGGTTCAATTTATATATATATATATATATATATATATATATACTAAATTGAAAAATGGGCAAGGTCAGGGGTTCGAATCCTGCCTAGTGTATGCAGCCGCGTTAAATCTTTGGATCAGCTATCCCACCCTTTGAGGTGCCTCCAACGTAGCGGGAGATTAGTCACTGCTATCGGCGATGGATACTCCAGGGACGAACAAAAAAAAAAATTTGAAAAATGGGCATAATAATTATATATAAGAAAAAATGGTCCACCCAATTGTCTGGACTCAAGTGACCTTTTTTTTTTTTTTTTTTAAGGTGAGAAATTAAATAACTCCTTCATTTAAATTAAGAAATGTACATAATAATAATAATAATAATAATAATAATAATAATAAATGGTGAAAATGAAACACTTCATATCTCACTATAAAAAAAATAAAAATAAAAATGATGGAATTATAAAAATATGTGATTAGTTTTAAAATAGTGGAGTAGTTAAACAAATTAGTCAAAGAATATAAAGAGGTAGTTAAACAAATTAATTAAAGAATAAAATAGTAAAAAAAATGTGGATCCCAAAATAAAATATCTCTTTATTAATATTATAGATAATATCTTTAAAAAGTGTCATCAAGTTACCACGGTTAGAATCACACTTTAATAATATATAATATATTATTATGACTAAATTAATTAATTTTTTAATTTAAAAGGAAGAAATATTGAAAAGATAATTTAGAAAAAATATAGAATAAAAATCGAGAGAATTGTATATTTTCCAAAATGAGGTAGTTGATTTGTAGTTATATAGTTGTAACTTAAAGGTTATATATATGATTTAGTGTATGGAAGTGAAACATAAATACTCACAATTTAGTGATTTTGTTAAGGGCCATGGAAAGAATGAGTAATTTTGCAAACTCCAAGCAGGTCCATGGATAGTTAGGGTGTTTATGAATAGATTTTTTAAAAAAATTGATCTAAATCGAACCAAACCATTTTATAAAAGTAGATCGGTTAACTGATCCATTTTTTATAAAGTAGATCAGTTTGATTTTTTTAAAATATGGATCAGTTTTTTGAAATTAGATTGGTTCGGTACGGTACAGTTATCCACTTTTTACTCATATATGGATCGATTTTTTAAAAAAACCAAACTGAATCAAACCGATCCACTTTGTAAAAATGAATTGGATAACTGAACCGGTTTTATAAAGTGATTCGGTTCGATTTTTTTTTCAAAATGGATCGAATTTTTTAATACGAATCGGATCAGTTATGGATCGGTTCGGATCAATTTAGATTTTTTGCACACCCCTAATAAATAGTAATTGACTAATAGGTTAAGGAAGAAAAATTTAGTAAATATTATGAAATAATTTGGATTTACGGGACCTAACAAAATATTATTTTAACTCTGTTGAGAGTGAATCTTAGGAGCATCAAAACATTTTAGTGCTTTACTATAAAATAGTATGGATATGATATATATATTACTTACGGGACATGTATATTATAATAATGTCATTTTTATGTGAAAATGATGATAATTTCAATATTAACTGTTAAATTAAAAAATAATTCAAATTAAAATATTATAAATAAAATTACTATATATGATATCATTATTATTGTATATGACAATCATCATTGCCATAAATCATCATTACCTATCAATGTTATTATTGTCCTTATCATTATTATTATCACACCACCACTAATGATGACGATTATGGTGATAATGATGATAGTAACAATAATGACAATAGTTAAGATAATGATAGTGGTGATAGTGACAATACAATAATAATAACAATAATGATAGTAACAATAATAATAATGGTGATGATGACAATGATAGTGATGATGATGGCAGCGATAATCATAATGGTAGTAATAACAACAACAAAAATAGAACAACTACAATAATGACATTACGTGATAATTTTATTTGTAATCTTTTCTTATACAAAGTTAATTTTTGAATCTTAATCAACATAACATGAGACACTATGTTTGAAGTTAATTAATAAATTTTTTTGTAAATTAATTTAAAATTTCATATTGCAAAATATCATTTATATGAAAACAATTTATTTATTCATGTTTACACTAGAGAACATATTAGCAGAAGAGTCCTAAAGTTGGTTAAGAATTCTAGCAATCTCAACGAGCCTTCATGCAACGTGATTTGTCAACATCACAAGAGATCATACTTATTTATGAAGTGTGTCCTTTGACTAAGTTGTAATGATTCCTACCTTTTTAAGAGGGTAACATTTATTATACCTTTCTCATGTGTAATTGGAGGGTGGTTTAGTGCTGTACTCATTTCACTTCAATTAGGTGTGAGAAAGATTTAGAAACCCTTTGTTTTGGGCCTATAGGCTCAGGGTTCATAGGCCCTTCCATATCTCTTGTGTAATGGAATAAGTTGGTTGCTATGGTTAACCTATGATAAGTTAGTTTGAGTGTTGCTTTTTCTAACTCATTCTGGTCATTATTAAGATTAGTTTTGCTAAAAAAATCTAGTTGATTGACCATATATTTTCAACCCTTATTTCAATTGGTTCGGTTAGATGATTACGAATCCTTCAAGGTTTCAAGTTTAATAAATATTAACACTTGTTATTCTTAGTTGAATAGTCTTAGTCTTTCAAGTGTCAAACCTAAAAGGTGTAGATATTTATTATACTTGATCAAATAATCTATAATTTCTTAAGTTTGAATTAAAAAAAAAATAATCACTTGTTATATTTAGTCGAATAATTCAACTTATTTAAAATTATTATCGAAATATTAAAATACTCAAACTATTATCGAATAATCATGTAAATAACAAACTTACTCCTTAAAAAATATATACATACATGATAAACTACTTTTTGAGAAATTTAAAAAAAAAGGTATGTTCTTTATAAAAATCTAGACAGCACAAAACTATAAGTAAAAGGCGTATCACACATCATGAACTTTATTTTTAAACCCTATACTTGCAAAGGTTTGCAAACCCCATGTATTCCTTATTTTCAATCCTTTTGATTATGTTTGCAATGCCTACTCCACCTGTAATTTGGAAAGAAAAAATAAATTAAGCCATCAAAATAAAATAAAAAATTGCAAAAGCCAATATAGACATAAAGCTCGTTTAAATTAAACTTGTCTTTAAAGTGAACAAATAAAAAGTATTTTTTATAATTTATTTATTTTAATTAATGAAATTTTGATCGTATTTATCCTACATTATAAATAATTTTATTTAAGTCAAATAAAATTAGAGAAAGGAATTTTTTTTTCTAGAAACGAGATCATTTGATGAATTTTTCTTTTAAAGCATGTACACAAAAGAAAGGAAACTTTTTTACTAACCTTTCTTTTGACGAGAGTAACAATTTCTTTTGCAAATTAGTAATTAAAGTTTTGTTATGATATTTGTTTGAGAATGATGTATTTATTAAAAAAAAAATTATATAGTTATTTATCTTCATAATAGAAAGATATTGTCTATTTTAAATTTTTATGCTCATAATTTTATTTTTGTTTCTCATCTAAAAAGGTCTTTAATCAAAGGAGTATATGTATATTTTATAAATTTTTTTTTTTTATTCTAAGGATGTGTGACCTTATTTATATCTCAATTTTGTTTGAGATGATTGTAAGATTTTAATTTTTTTTTGTTGTCATGAATAAAATATGTTTGGATAAAGGAAGGTAGAAATAATTTTTAAATTGATTTTAAAATTATTTATATTTAAATTAATTTGCTAAAAATCAACGTTCGTTAGTTCAATCAATGTTGTGGTTAATTCTCAAATTTCAAGGTCTCAAGTCTAAGTCTTGCATTTGATAAAAAAAAAAATCCTAAAAGAGATCGTTTTAATGCAATTAAAGTCTTGAAAGAGACTAGTTTCTAGTGAAATTAATAGATACTTCTATCAATATAATAGTTTAAAAAAAAAATTGCTCAGTTATGTTAGTATTTATGTTATGACACATATATTGGTAACAATAGCCAATATTTGCCTCCAGGTACTGGTAAGTAACCACACAAAAATAAAGAATACCAAAAGAAGGTCCACAAAGCAGTCTCCAAAAAATGATAGTACTTACCTAGTAATACTGCACTAACACCGAGTGTGAGGGTTAGGATGAAAATTATCACAGATGCTCTCCCCAGTAATGCAATCACCTTTCTCACCAAATGCTGCCCAAAAAGTGCAGAAACAGTGGCTACAGCTACGAAGTAAAGAGCTGCAACATGATCCAAAAATGATCATCAAAATGTCCATAAGATTTACCTAGTTATTGCTTCCTTAACATATTAGTCAATTACTATCCCTCTATATATAACTATGCACATGCTCTTGTAGCTTGGCAAAATGACTCATTCTCTCACACATTTATGTTCATTGGTCCATACTTACCATAAGTAATAGGGAAACGTTTGAGAAGGTAGTATTCCACCACTGCCATGGATGCAGAAAATGCCATTGCCATAATGGATGTAGCACTTGCCACCTTTGTGGAAAATTCCTCAATCAGAGTGATTTCCATGTAGAATGTACATGCATAGACTTTATGGCAAAAAGAAAAACTATAAAGGTACCTGAGGAGGGATTCCTAGTCCAAGGAAAAGGGGTGCCAAGATGAATCCTCCACCAAGGCCTAACAAACCAGCAATCATGCCAGCAAGTGTGCCACAAGCACATAATAGAATTAACTGCAACACTTGCCATTGTGGTTGTTGATCTCCCTTTGATGCTATGATTCTCGTCCCTTTGTATAGACGCACAGCCTCATATGAACTCATTCCTACAGCTATAGGGACCTAAAGAAAAGGAAAAAAATTTATGCTTCGTTGGTCCTAAGAACAAACAATATATTATATGTGGAAACTCTTGGCTCTTAAGTACTAAGGTAATGAGGCCATTTTGGTTTTATTAAGATGGAGAGTGAAAATACTATAAGATGACAACTATGGTTTTCAGAAATTAAATTCTCCTATAGTAGTAGTTCATACCTGCAGTAGATTCAAAACCCAATATACCACTGAGCAAGTTAGTGTGTAATTCTGTTCCAAAACAAAGCCATATATATTATCATCATGTTATGTTGACGGATGATCACCAATACAAGAAAATGAAAAACTCAAATTGTGAGTAGAACAGCTCTTGGGATACCAACTTTTCCAATCTCTAATGCAAGTATCATGACCCAAATCGCAAAAAGAAGTCCAAGTTCCTTCCATTGAATATTCTCAATGATAGAAATCTGCATGACAGATTTAGATTTCATTACAAAGAATGAATACATATTGAACATATATGGAAGCAAAAACTGTCTGAATTTTGTACTACTTTTTTCCTTGATTGATTGGTGCAGTCTTTGGCTGGATCTCCTGTTTGAATATACTGTGCAGCAGCATCTTCAGGACTTCCTATATCTGATTAATTACATTGAAAATCAGCATGACATGTTTGATATATTTATCTCTATACAGAAGGCTAGAATAGAAATAATATCAAACCATTTACCATCTATCTGTGACTTCTTCCTTGCTTCCTGGAATCATAACAGGCATGCATTAAACTAAAGCACCAAAGTGCAAAACTTGAAAGAAATTTAATATATAAAAGAGGGGTCATGTTTAAGCCACCTTCTTTATAATGGTTTCTTTTTTCCATGTATCAACACCCTTAAAGAAGGATTTAACTGAAATACCTGTTTCACATTCAGATTACATCGAAGGGTAAGCAAAGGAAAGAAATAGAACTATGAACCTGATTGGATACAAACTTAGAAGTGTTTTTGAGAGTTTCCCTACTAATAAATATTCTTTATTTTCGATAGAAAAAAATCTCAAAAACGTTTCTAACTTGTATCCAAATAAGTTCTAGAACTAACTCGAAGTTTTAACTCAATTTTTACCTACAAAAAATACTATTAACAAAATTGTTAGCATCCAGTCTGGAAAAATGACATTGAAAGAAACTCCAATACTGATTCCAAGCATTAACATTGGTTGGAAAAGAAGTGCCAAGTCATAGTCAATGACGGGCAAATCAAGGGTGGGGTGTCTTTGTCTCAAATTGTAGAAAACAGTTGCTGTTGCTCCACCAGTAATCATGCCTTCATCAAACAAACCGAAACATAATAATATAATTCCAAACATTATATTTTATTAAGATATTGGAATTTGGAAGTAGGCTAATACCACTCTCACATAGTTGGTGTAAATGTCCAGCATGCAGTGCCGTGTACGGAACTATTTCTAAATATTGACAGCATAATTTTTTACAAATTATCAAACTTGTTGGATAACACTGTAAACAGCTTTTACACTGTTAGTGTGTGTCAGCTATTTATTACTCATGAATTAAACTCTAAAAGTGAATTACACCACATTAATAAATAAATTTTAAAAAAAAAGCTATTAATTTGTAATGACTAAAGTGAAGGGATAAAATGAAGGGACAAGGCTAGTTCTTACATTTTGAAATTGCTATTGCTGATTTTGCATCGAATCCAATAATGAGGGTAAGCATTGGCACAAAGATGCCACCCCCACCAACACCTCCCACATTCCCAAATGCTGATCCTAGGAATCCAACTATGCTGCCCACTATTATTCTCCACCCATATTTCATGCTCTGCAGAAAACCAATTTTTTTAAACAAAAATAATAATAACTAATCCACGTGCTTTCCCCCAAAAATTTTACCACAATTATAGTTATTTGAAATTGACACAAAAGTACATGCAAACATAGAATAAATTATTCTCTTATAAAAAGTCAGATTTAGTTCCTCAGTTTTAAAAAAACAATACAATGTAATCTTTTCTGTCCAATTGAGATTAACCAAATAAATTTTTTTTGTACACGGGTCATTTTTAATTGTGCCATTTGTTTAAAAAGTAGACAACATTAGTTTTAATTGGACAAAAATATCATATTGCACCAAATTGGACCTTTTTAATAATATAAGGACCAAATTGAACTAGTTGAACAAAACGAAAGACTTAAAAAGTAATTTAACATAATTTTTCTTTATAAAATCTGTTATGAGGGTATTTGTGAAGTAAACACTTACTGGCCAAGTATGTTGATAAAATGCTTTATCATGATAACTGGTATCAACCCTTGTGGTGTCATTGGATTCTGAGGTTGCCGAGACTGTAACAAGAAGAAGCAAAGCAATGAGAACCTTTCCAGCAACCCATTTCACATCCCATCTTTGTGATGCATGCACAACCATTATGTCTCTTCTGATACAGAGCTGTTTTCAAAATTGAAAATCTTAGTCCTTTTAGTACTATGATTTTCCTACCCTATGCTTTGCTTCAAATGAGACCATAACAATTATATAGAAATTTCCAAATCTTCACTGTAAGTGTTGATTATGTTACTTGAATTCAATCGAAGTTTAGCTGCAAGAAAACAAATCTCAGGTCAGAAGAGTATTTTTGATAGCAATTAGCAAGTATGGCCTCTATTATGTTTTTATTAGTCTCTCTCTTGTACATTTACACATGATTTCTTGGCTATTTGTGGACAGGGTGCTCCCACTGCTACGGCCTACGCTCTAATTGGTGCTACAAATAATCCACTAGCACTAGTGCACTACGGTTTGTGGAGGGTCCAAAACCAGAATTTTGATGTCCAATATATATCAAATTCGATCACATCGAACATTATAATTTTTTTCTTCTTTGTCTCATGTAACTTATCTTACTTGAGTTAGTTAAAATGTGATAAAAGTAGGGGCGTAAACAGGTGAGGTTGAGTTAGGTTTGGATGGATTGATTATCTGACTCCATCAAAATTTATTGAGTTAGATTGGATTGAGTCAAGTTTGTGTAATTTTTTTTTTAAAACCAACTCAACTCAATGTGATCACGAACGGGTTAAGTTAGATTAGATTAATTGGATCAAAATAATTTAATTTTTTAAAAAAATAAATATTTTAAAATAAATGTAAATCATTTGATATATTGTTATAAATACAATGTTATCAGCCTATAAAACAAACAATGATACAAATTATATTCTAAAATAAATTTATTAATTTATTACATTATTATCAACTCAAAAAAACCAACATTAATTAATGTAAAATAAAAATTTAAAATAAATATATTATATTATTATAATGCAATCAATTTAAAAATACAAAACTCGTTATTGAATAACAGTGATAACGAGTATTGTCCTGAGCAAATGATCATTCAAACATTATTAATATTACTATTATTATAATAATAATTATTATTATTATTATTATTATTATAATAATTATTATTATTATATCGAATTAGGTCGGGTTACGAGTCAAAAATACAAAATTCATTATCTAATTTGTACGATGTCAGATTTTGATCTGGTTGAATTAGGTATGACCTTAATTTTTTGTACTAATATGATTAAAAGTTCATTTACTTCACGAGAAAATAAGTTATGTGTGAATAGGTAAAGATTTTTATTACATCATCCAATTACAAATTGTCATATATAAATAAATTTAATGATTTTTATAAATAAATAAAAAAAAAACTTAAAAGTCATATGTATCATAATTTGTAATTGATTGACAACGTAGAATAATTTTACACTTTCCATGCATTAAACTCTTTGTTTAACCAAGTGTGAAATACATGCATACAACAGAATAATTTTTGAGTGATTATATTAAGTTTTACATCGACAAGTTATGATCATATTTAATTGTCAAAATAAATATAAATATTATTATTAACAATAATTGAGCTAAGTCGGAAAATATTGAAATACAAGTGTAAAAATTAAAGTGACTCAATTATTGTCAATAATCAAAGTTTGAATAAAGAATAATTGTTACAATTTTGTATTATTGACTTTTAATGAAGAGTTATTTTAGGAAATTTTTGTTTGCGGATTTGTTTTGCTCCCAAGAAGTTACTCCATTGATTCACACATAATAAAAAGTTAAGGCCAGAAGAATTTTCACTTTTCCTCTAAATACTAAGTTTTCTATTAGGTACTCGATATTTTGCTTGTGAGAAATTCTTTGAAATAAAACTTGGTAGCAATGGTTGGAGATATGTGTTTTGAAATATGTTGTTTAGGCTTTTAACATGTTTATATCATTATTTTCTTATTTTTCAACAACTCAGATTTTTTTCTTTTGCTGCAAATATACATGTACACACATATCCATCTACACCCAAATGCTACAATAAGATTGGGAAGAAAGAGCACCATCATAATTCATAACACACAACAAAGAGAAACCAAGAAATGGGCCAAGCCCACACACACCACAGGAGACCCAAAGCATGGGCTGAGCTCAATTCAAAAACAAGACATGCTGGGCAATGATCTACGCCCCATCTGGGAAATCTAGAAATAGTAAAAAGAGAGAAAAAAAATGCAATAACAAAAAAAAATGAAAAATGGATATATACATTACATAAAAAGAAATAATAAGGGGAATTTGGGATGCAGGACATTTTATTTTAACGCTTTTGATGCTTAGTTCAAGAATGTTTCTCTTCATTTTATTGTTCCTTTTTTTCTATATTATTATTATTGTTGAAAAAGTGACACCGAGTGTCCCAGAATATTTTTAAAAGTAAAATAAATAAATATATGTATATAATAATGTGGACGATTATTTAGAGTCAATTTTTTAAAAAATTAATTTTTTTAATAATTAAGAGTATAATAATACATATATAGATTATGGAAATGAAAAATAGTTACGAAAAATAGTGTAATGATATATATACAAACAAAAATATATCAAGAAATTGGTAGTGTGAGTGATATTAAACTTAGATTTGAGTCTTGTATATGAGAAAAATATGATAAGGAATAACTCTATCAAAGATTAACATACTTCACTTTTATTTCATTATTCTTATTTCTTTTTATTATTATTATTTTATTTCTCATATTTTCATATTGTGACCGAACTCGTGTTATCCTTTCTTTATATTTTTTTTTTGTTTTTCTTGTGTGTTTTTTTCAATGGGCTCAATATGGCCTAATTTGAAGCCTTTACTTCCGGCACCATATCATTCGGTTCTTACACTCTTCCAACATATTAAAGTTTAAAAAATATTCTTAAAACATATTATCTTCTCATTCCGTTCATACGCCCCTAAAATTAAAAAAGTTATTAAAGTATGCTCCCAAACACAATTTCAAAAAATTAAGGATGTGTAAAATATCAAATTCAGAATGTTAAATATGTTTCAGAATATTCATTCTAAAATGTTAATTATGTGTTCCAGAACGCTTAATCTGAAATGAGAAAATTTCGGAACAACTAATCTAGAATGAGAAAATGTGTTCTAGATTAGACTTTCTGAAAATTAAACTTGCCGAAACCAAAAACTATGGAAGAAAACATGTATAAGTGAGACGATATAATAATGTTTATGGGAAAGGTTTGATGGTTTATTTCGGAAGTCACGTGACTTAATCTTATTCTTTTAACATTTCGTGATATGATCTAATCTAGTCTCATAATAAAAGTCATCTCACGTAGTTGATGTACTCCCTACATTGCATACAAGTGTATACAATGAGAACTTTTCTTATGGTAAGAAATGAGAATTATAAATATAAAGAATTAGAATATATTTGAATCGTTAAGATTAATATATATATATATATGATAAATAGCTAGATAGATGATCAAGTCATCACAAATTTTTAATATATCTTAATTATTTATGTAGAACCATTAGGTCAATCTAGTACTAAGAGATGAGGTAGTATAATAAGGTTTTATATTCAAAATTTATTGTCTGTAATCTCTTATTGAAAATAAGAATCATCCACGTTATATGACTTAGTTTTATAATTTTTTTTAAAAAAATAAGTTTATACACAATTTACTCCCTTTGTTCTTTTTAATTTTTAGAAAAATTTTGTTTCTATTTATTTTTTATTTTCAAATTTTAAGACAACATTAATTATTATATTATCAATTATACTCTCTATATTTTATATAATTTTTAATTAATTTACATATGAAAACTAATATACATTTATTATAAAGTAAAAATAAAAGAGGGTATAATAAGAAATATTACAATCGTTCTATAAAAAATAGAAAAATTTATTATATTTATTGATTCGTATTAAATAATCTTAAACGACTATTATAAAGTAACAAAGATAATATGACATATTAACTTCTTATTTAATGATTAATTACTTTTATTATTTATATTTGATTATATTTGTCATTTCCTTTCTCCTTATTAAATTAATGCTTGTTCAAATACTCTTTTTAATTAGCTATTTGTTTTGATGTCCCCTAAAAGAGCCTCTTTGTTTTTAACGAACCTCCTAGCTGGTCCGCAAGCTTGTTAGAGTGCACAACGGCTATATTCCTAATACGGAACCATCTCTATTTTGGCCCATGCTTCCACCAACACACCCGATTTAAGGGTGGGCTAGTGGACAGGCCCACCAAAAATGAAAAACAAAATCAACTTTTTATTATTATTTTAATACTAATATGAAATTACAAATTTAGTTAAATGATCTGAAATATGTTAATGATGTATTATGTTTAGCCTAAAAGAATTTTTTCTTATATTTTTTACAAAAGTTATAATTATAACATTTTATATTTAGGATTTTCTTTCTAATGTTAAACTAACTTTTAAACATGTAACAAACATTTACTTTATAATAGTTAAGATATACTTTAATATATGATAGTCAAGTCTTAAACACATTACAAATTTTTTAAAAAAATGGCCTAACGAGCCAACTCATCCCGACTCAACCGGTCAAGCAAGGAAATTGGGCAAGATAAACTGTGACAGATTGGTGGTCTAGACGTATCCCTCACCACCTATTTTAGTGGGCTAGGCGGATTGGCAGGCGCAACCTGCTTTGCCATTATGCAAAGATGACTTCAAATGTTCAAGTCAGTGAGTATAAGATAGTGTGGTTAGAAATTAGGCATACCTGAAGTGTAGATTGTAGAATTTCATCGACTTTTATTGGTCTCTCATGAATTATGTTTTAGCATGGGCAGGTCAAAATATGAACTATTGTCAATATTTTGGATGAAAGACACTAATTTTTAAATATGCTGTCACGTGGACTATTTTTATACGGGAACATGCAAAGGAGCTTTGAAACATTTGGATTTTGGAGAATTGTAAGCATCCCAGATACAACTAAAGATTGGAATCTTCTCAAACTTTATTTCTAAATAGCCCCTACCTTGAATTTCTCAAAGCCAACCCTCTGATTCATTCAACAATTTTAAAGAATAGATTTATAAAAAAATTTCAATACAAACAACCTTTTTTTATTTTAAAAAAGTAAATACTTATCTCACGCAATAATAAGTGTAATCAAACAGAACCTAACTGTTTAAAAACTTACATTACGCAATAATAAAGTTCACATGATAACGAAATGCCTTAATTTTAAAAAGAACTCTAACTGCTGACACACATTTGATTTTTGGGTCACAAATGCCTTGCTTTAATGATCTTTTATGAATGTATATACTACATAAACATTTTTTCTTTTTGTGGAAAAAATCATGTGTATCAAGTGTCTTTAAGCCAAGTCATTGCAGTGTATATTCTTAATTTTACAATTGAAGTTCTGTCAAATCTACAAAGAAATGTCACTCTTGGGTAGATTTCTCCTGAGGATGATGCACAACTGGAGAAGAAACCGACCCAAGTTTGTCTGATTGCTGAGATAATATTCCTCCATGGCTCTACATGATTAAATACAAAAATAAAGTTCATGTTTGAAAGGGCGGGAAAGCAATCCATACATGCAGCCAATTAAGACGCATAAGAACTCAAGTTATAAGTTATTTTTCGTTAAGAACTACAATTTAACTCACCTGCGATGTCACGATTGCCTGCCCTTGGTCTGCTATAGGATGACTGCTGCTCTGCAATTGCCAAAAAAAAAAAAAAAAGTAGCATAATTGAGTCCAAACGGAGTTCTGAGAAGGATGTTCCACAATTTAACTTAAATAAAAACTGTTCATTAAGAATCTGCCTCGCCCACAATGTTAATAAAGTCTGCTAGAACTTTTATCTAGAGGTGCTGTGCTTCTTATTTTATACCACACCAAATCAATTCAAGATCATAAATTCACCGATATTCATGTTCTCTTTATTTCCCCTGGCTAAACCCTATAATTTCAACACTACTGTACCTGTGTTGATGGCTGCTGCTGCTGGTGAACAGAGTGTTCTTGCTGCAGAGGTTGCTGCTGTTGAAAGTATTGCTGCTGCTGCATAACCTGTTGTTGCAGCTGTTGTGGTTGAAGAGGTTCCAGCTGACTATGTTGGAGTTGTTGTGACTGTTCCTGCTGGAATGATTGCTGCTGTAATTGAATATAATGATGTTGTTGTTGCAGCTGCTGCTGCTGCTGGTGATAGTAATAGTATTGCCATAACTGATTATATTCTTGGCCATTCTGCATATATCCATATTGTCCATTGCCTTGCGTTGCTTGTTGTAATTCATGTGATGTGGTATTGGCAGGTGTTTGAGACTGAGATGAAGTGTTCTGTATCTGCATATTTTGCATAGGCCAACAATCAGTTGCCATGAAATCAGTCGGAGTAGAAGCAGATTGAAACTGGTTTTGTCCTTGATTGCTTTGCTGAATTTGCAATACAGATTGAGAGGAGTAACCTTGAGCTACAGCCATTTGTGCAACCCCTTCAGGTGGATGAATCTGCTGTGGAGACAGTTGTTGCCGTTGGTGCTGTTTTCTATGCGTATTTCCCCTGTAGCCAAATTTGGGACCCCTACGAAATTGTCCAGCATTTCTCGTTTTATGCCAGCTTCCACCACTATTTCCAGAAGACCGAGGTGGTAGAAGTGGTTTTCTTGCTCTTGGGTCTCGATGGCGTGTTGTATATGGACTGCTTATTTCAATGTGGATTTGGGCAGACTCAGAATCTTGAGTGCTTGCAGAGTTGTCTTGATTTGTGGTATGACCAGAAACAACTGCTCTACTATTTGACTTGCAGCTTTCTGGATTTGCATCACACTCCTCCTGAGACACCATTCGTCGTGAGTCAGGACACGAGCTTTCGTGGGGGTTCAATGATATGCTTGGTGAAGAAAGTGGCTTCAATTCTTCAGGCTCAAGCTCACACTTCCCTTTAGGAAAAGCCGTGTTTTCAATTGAGGGTGTTTGCAAACGTGAGGAATGGTTTCCACAGGATGTTTGACGTAATAACTCCTCTGATGAAATATCAGATTCAAAACAACTACTTTTTAAATTCTTAACAGCTTCTGTTGATCCCTCTTTCCCATCCACTAAATTGGCAGATGACACATTAGTTTCAGGATCATTGTCTCTCAGCTCTTCAGAAACTGGCAGAGGTAATTTTGTTCCATTTTCTTGTATTTTGTCATCTAATTCCATAATTTGAAGTTTGTATATATCTGTATCATTAGACTGAGTATTATGATTTTTAACCATCAATAATCCATCATTGTCTTTTTTCAGCGAATCAGAACTAGAATCTCTAGATGCTTGATTAGGCATGACAACAGAAATCTCTTCTCTCTTCTTGTCCATCAAATTGAGCAATCTTCTACTTATAGCAGATTGCTTGTGTAAATCTTCCCGGGCAGAGACTGGAAATAATTTTATGTGCCGATTCCACGCCTTCCTTATATCATGTATGGTTCCACAATAGTCCACAAACTGATATTAACACACAGATTTTAGTATCAAAATTTCAAGGTACTTGAGCTTAGTTTAAATGGCGTAGGTTCACCAAAGAAATATCAGTGTAAAAAAGATCAATCCCTGATAGAAGTAAACCAAACAAATATCAAAAGTTCAAAATACTTTTTTTTTTCTATTCAATAAACTAAATACAAGTTAATGAGCCTTCTGTGGGTCGAAAGGAAAAAGTTATTAGAAATAATACCAATGAAGTAAAAGCCATCATTTTTTTAAGGCAGATGCACTATAGCAAAATTAAACAGTAATTACGTGCACAAGCACAAGTTTACGAATTTTCCTAGCATTAACTGGTTGAATCATAAGAAAAACAACTAATTTAATAAATAAAAAGGCAGAAGCAAAAAAAAAAAACACTTTATATTACTTTACTGCTAAATCATAACATAGTTGTCAATCTCCAATAGTGGAGCGACCAATCCCAAAAGAGAGATGACGGGATAGCGGATAATGGGATGAACAATGTTCTAATATATTAAATAATTGATAATATATATATAAGCTCAAAAACAGAAAATAACCCAAAATTCATGCATTAGTCATTTGGTTGGACATGGTTCTGATGACCACCAAAGAACAAAACTGCATAAGTAAAAAAATTAAAAGAATAACAAAAATTATTGCTGCCAGCAATAAGCAAAACCAGGAAGAAAAAAAGGAAATGAAGGAAAGAAACGAAAAAAATAAAAAAAGAAGGGAACAGAAAAAGAGAGACTCGTTGGCAGAGCCGCAGCAAGAGGACCTGTCAGAGAAGAGAGGTGGAGAAGAAGTTGGGGCACACAAGCAAAAGGTTGATGACAAGTAAGGAGCGATGCATGCACAAGGTTGAGTCACAATAAGAGAAAAAGAGAAAAAATTTGAAAGTGGAAAGACAAAAATAGCCTCATTAAGTGAGGGTATTTTCAAAAATTTGCAAACTGCCCCAAACCCACTCCACGCCGCCCCACCCCATCGCTTTGCAGCCGCAACATTGAAATGCTACACAATAGAGTCACTGCAGTGACACCCGGCTGCTCCACTGCAATAGCAGCCACTATTGACAACATAGAATAATAATGAAGTATAATTGAACTCAAACAAAATATAACCTCTAGGTATAAGTTTGATATATCCTCTGCATCTTCTGCATTCAAACCTTGAGATCCATCTGACCTTGGAGATATTGTATCCGCAATAATTGAATCTATTACAGCCATGTGCTTTGTCCCCCCATGCATCATTGAGAACTTTATCAACTCCTGCAAAAGTAAATAAAAACAACTGAAGAAATTTTATCAATATCTCTCCACACACAAAAAATCATTCCTGGGCTTGTACCTGAGAGCACAAGTTAATTTCAGATTAATTTCAGATTAGGCAGTTATAGGTTACGAAGTGATAGTTACTGTGATATAAAAGTTGTGTTACAGACTTGTAAGAGGGAATTATGGTGTCAGATTGCTATTTCCTGTGTTTTGAAGGAGGAACTCCTGGTTAGACGGAACCATGTGTGTGTTAGTGGGGAACCTTGTATTTGTACTTAATTCTGGCCTAAAAAACAGATTATTTATATCTTTATTCAGAATCCAGTGCGTTTATTTCTTGTGTCCAACAAAACCCCTCCTGGAAGCCCTTTAACCCATAATTTCTTCCTTGTCACTTTTCTTTTACTATCCATGTATGTCAGTAGCAACTAGTTTGTTTGACTTGTTCTGTTAGTGTGAATTTGCCCCTCTGCGTAGTAGTAATTAAAAGGCTTGCTTAATAGGTTTTTCAATAGATTTGCTATCCGTGTATATACATCATACATACCGAGAGCAGCTCAAGCTTGGGTCTATCTACTTTTACAAAAGACATATTACAAACATACCTCCAGAAGCAATTTGTTTTGAGGCAAAGTTCTGACACCATCAATCAATACATCTCTGGCAGCATCCACACTGTCTGTGCTCTTAAAACCAAGAAAGGAACAAATGATAAAAAAGAGGATCAGGTAGTTACACCTGATAATGGCTTTCATCATAAAAGTCTTTTTTTTCCATTTTAATGAACTCTTCTTTATGCAGTTATGATATGATATGCCTGCTTCAATCCTTTGTCAGGCATTTAATAAAAATACGGTAAAAAAGAAAAAGTTGAAAGAACTAATTGTACTGAGCAATAGCCTAAAGGTACCCAAGCCAATCTTCTAACTCTAACAAAAGTTATTCTTGTTGAACTCCATTTTACAAAGCCATATGTATTGCTGATATGAGAAAAAAGAAACAAAATATACAACGGAGATTGGAGAAAAATTGATGGGAAGAAAGACTTACCACTAAATGTCAACTTTCCAAGAAGGGGAAAAAAAAGGATTTCTAACGAGCATGTGCAAGCATGCACTAATATATAGTTAAACAATTATAAAATTTGCTAGCCAAAAACATTGCTTTGATAACCAAATGGCTTTGGCTTTTTCCTCTACTGACTACCTCTTTATGGCATCAGGTTATCAGAAGTAAAGTTTGCATTCTAATGGTTGGGATTCCAATTCAGTAGTTTGGATGATGTTTCCCATATTAAATTTTGGGAGGATCCTAGGCTGAGAAATGTTCCTCTTTCTTTATACTCAAATAATAAAAAAATATTTTATATAGAAAAAGAATTTGTCATTAAATTAAGCAACTAAAAGATGTAGCATGTGCTTTTAACTCAAATTTCTAACTGGATTATCATTAGTAGTGACATCCAAAGTACTAAATTGCATCAAATTACAATATACAAGGAAGGAATAAAAGAGAAAAAAAATAAAAACTATAGGAAAATGAATGTTCTCAAAAAGCCAAAAAAATCATGATTGACCGATTTCTATCATAATCAAAATATTTACAATAACATCTAAATAAAACTGTTAAGTTCCCAACCCAATGCTCAAAGCAGATGAGCATATAATACCTACCATATATTTTAGCCGAGAGAAATGAACATATAAAAGAGGGAGGGCATGTAACTTTCCCTCAGCTGATGCCATTTTTAGTGCTTCTTTGTATATACTGAAAGCTGATTCTGTATTTCCCTGCAATAAAAATATAAAGCAGCACATGTAATCACTTTTCTGATTCAGGGCATTGCAGCTTTTTCTTCAATGGTAATAAAGGCTAATTGCATACCAAACGTTTTTCCATATTAGCTTTTGATATAACATTCTCCACAAAGTCTGAATCTCTCTCTTTACCACTCTGAATATATGCAGCTCGAGCAGCTAAAACATCTCCTATTTGTTCCTTATACCTGGCATTGAACAAATGGATTGCAGGCACTCTCTGCAATGAACATATGATGGGGTGATAAACATTGCAAGCCAGGCATGAAGCTATGAAGGCAAAGCCAAGAGAAGAATTAATGGACTTGGAAAGAATTAATTAACCAATGCAAAATATACCACTCAACTTGACATAAAAAATAGGTGACAAAACTTACTTGTATTTCATTTCATTTATCATTAGTAACATTCACATTATAAACCATGCAGTAGAATAAGAAAAAAGAAGTTATATAGAATTTCCACTAATTTTATGTAGAACTATGGTTTTTTGTTCAGCTTCAATTGGAGCAGCAGAGGGACCAGGAAGAAGAATACCTCAGCAATGTTGTGGATTATCATCTTGCAAGGTGCTCTCTCTAACCAAGTGCATCACTTCCATTTCATATGGAACTGTAAGAGTGCCTAAAGAGGAATTTATCAATACATATCAGGCCTAACTGACAGAGTTCAAATACAAGGCAACTGTAGTTCTTATATGGTCAATGTAATCCTTATAAGGCTTGGCCAGCCCACACCTCACAAGCCTTAAATTAAGTCATAAGCCCAAATTCTAAGAAGGTATCAGAGCCTACTACAGAACCATTATTGGAACACTCGTATTTGTCTATATTGTAAATGTTTATTCCTGGAGGTGTTGCATTAGGCCACCCACATTTATCCACGGTCCAAATGTCCAATCCTAAGTAAGAGTGTGTTGAGATCCAATGTTATCAATGACAGAAGACTGAAGTTCAATCATATAATCACGCCATTGCATCCTATGGCATCACCATAGTTGGCCTCCCTCCACAAATAACCTATGGCGGAGGGGACAAAAATCACCATGTTATAGCAGTATGGCAGCACTATAAGTCTATAATGGTTATTCAACAACATTGTTGAGATCTCATATCGATTATAAATAAGACTAATGTAGTTCTTATAAGGCTTAGGTAATCCCTTATCTTATAAAACTAATTTTGTGGGTTTGAATTAGACCGTAGTCCCAAATTCTTAAGAAGATCAAAGGACTCGTGTGAGGGGTCTGCTAGAAATATAAAATCATTCATGTGCCTGCTTCACCTGACAACTTCAACTTGTGGGAAAATGGTTCTTGACCCCAAGGAAACTAGGTTTTTCTTTCCTGAGGAAATTACAAGACCCTCATTTTATTCATTTATTGGAAGAAGTACAATTTTTGAAGTCCAAGGAAAAAGCTTCCCAAATAGGAAAATTAACCACTATCTGAATATCATCCACTGACAATAAAAACAAAAGCCATCTCCAACCTATAAAATATTCGAAGAGAGGTTAATGTGTTAACTGCATATTAATTTGATTAACCACTTGAATGGATAATTTCATGAATTGGAAATTTTGTTGACAAAAGTCATTAAATGGTGATTCTTCCTCTCTTTGTTTGGTTAAAAAATAGAGAAAATTTTGGAGAAATTAATAAAAGAAACAGAGCCAATGAGGCTTGAAAGATCTACATAGCTTTCCAGTGAATCTGCATATCAGAACAGAAGACTCCTTGAAATCAATCATGAGAATAGCAGCAAATAGAAGCCAATAACATAAATAAATACATTCTAAAGCCATAAAAGTAAGGACAAACAGATACTAAGAAATATCACAAGACCGTTATTATGATGTGCCAAATCAATTGCCTTCAAGTTTGCCCCCTTGATTAAACATGACTCGTAATGCATGTGACCTTCCAGATGCAAACCATTACATTTCACTTCTTCCTTTTCACAATTTCACTTATAAAATGTTATCACAAATGGTCTCTGTATCATGGACATCCATTGCCATTTAACAATGGTAAAAAGCTTCATACTTAAATTCTTTAAAATCCATAACCTTTGGCAATTGTTTCTCAGACAACTATAGAGAAACTCTCAAGGAAAAAATAAGTATATGGCAAAGCAGACCATTAACATGAAATTCAATCAACACAAGGTAAATAGGAATATACCTTCAAATAAATTTCAGTTGCTCGGTCTAAAGAATAGTTTGCAACTTCTCTTCCTCCCTTGGTTTCCATGAAGTCCACATAACGCATCCAGTATTCAGGATAGTTGGCACAAACAATCAAGCATCTCTCATAAAGTTTCACAGCCTATCTCAATGGGAGAAAAGAAAGATTTTAGCCAGCAAAGTTTAACAAAAAAATAAAATAAGCAACTGGCAAGATTTACTGGGAATACTGTGTGGAAAGTTACCCAGTCAAAGTCCCCTTGAAGTTCAATAAAATCCAGATAATTATGCCAATTCTGCAATTGATTTGCATCAAGAGGCCGAACATGAAAGTAATGTCTTCGAATATTAGCCTCAAAAGAACTAATTTTCGAATACAACTCACAAGCATTACGATAAAGCAGTTCTCCAATGGCCCTGTACCTTTTTAGGGCTATTGAACTAGTCAATCCAACAGATGAATCCATCATATCTTTGATAATGCAAGAAACTTCGTCATCCTTGTAACATGTAGTCATAGGAATTTCACCATCAAAACATTGTTCAGATTGCAATTCCAGGTTTTCTATGCCCTCCTCCAAAAAGGTTAGCAACTTTTTAAAACTGAAGAAATATAGAACTAAAATCCGGTAAGGATAATATACAAAAATATGCATATATAAAAATATACAACACATACAACCACACATTTGTGAAGCAATATTTCTTTATACATACTAATTAATGAAATTTTTCATCCAGAGAAAAAATTTATCAGCTCTATAAAAATCTCACGATCCATAAAGATACTCTTTGTGATATTTTATTGTTAATTAGAATTATATATACCCACACATAAAGAAGCACTCCACCCCACTCAAATCATTTAAATGTGAAATAATATAAATTATAAATTATTAAAAATATTAAGTATATAAAACTATTAATGTGAGATACGTAATATATTTAAATGATATTCTGCTAGAAGAACTATAAAAACTAACATAACCCAATGCCTGAGGCTCCTCACTTTGTGAAGGTATGGGGGAGGATAATTGTACACAGCTTTCCCCTTGAAAATGCAAAGAGGCTATTTCCAGATTCGAGCCATGACCAACCGGTCGGCGGTCACCAAGGCACAACTTTACATTTGCGCCATGGCTCACCCTCTCTGGAAGAACTATATCAAACAAATTTAACTAAATATAATTTTTGAGGTTGTAAATGATATTAGTAAGAATATTTTGACTAATATTATGAATTGTTTTTTTAAATTAATCTATATTAAAAAATAATTGTCAAAATCAAAGTAAGCATACTAAAATGTTTATACCCCACAAAACAGAAAAAATAAACTTATGGAGAACATCTTAGACACTATTTTAAAACTCAAACCGGGGATCGACTCAATCAAAGTACTAAGTCAGTAGGTCAATGATTGAACCGTATGAATTAATATATAATTTTAAATTAAAGATATCATATAAAAACTATTTGTCGTATACATATCAATTAAATATATTGGTTCAGTGGTTTATAGTGTCTTTGGTATGCAAATGCATACAGGTTTGAGTCCTATCATACTCCAAAAACCCCTTTTATTTTTCTGAAATTTTAAGAGACAGGACTAAGACATGCAAGGAAGCAGCGTGAATCCAAAGGCCACAGCCTAGCACCATTGCACAGCAGCAAAGCAAAGTGGGACACATTTAAAAAAACAAAAAGGTCTTAGTAATAACCCATTGTTTCACTAGTTTATCCAGAAAACCACCCAGGTCATACCTGTTCACACTAAGTTGATGGTATGTCCTGTTAGAAAAGAATGGCACAATCCAAGAGGGGGGG